CCTTTCCCCTCCCCTCCCCCCGCCCCCGGCCCTTATCACCTGGCGTGTGACAGCTCCTCGTCTTCAGCGCACGGTGCGGTGGGTGGGCAGCGGAGACGGTAAAATAAATCTGGACCAGGGTGGGGCATGTGGGGTTGGAGAACTGCCCTCTCCAGTCCTGGCATCTCAACTCCAGTCCTGGCATCTCAACTGGGGTGGTTGATACGCTGCTGCGTGTCTCCTTGCTCTTAACCACCGGAAGGAGATGGGTGAAGCGCTGTTTTCCAGGCTTGCCACTGAAAAAGGAGTTTGGTGAAGGAGCATCCTTATTTTGTACACTGTTTCTTAGATATTGGCATGGGCAACTCTGTTATCATAAGAACGTGTCATTCTCAAGAAGTTGTTTTTGGTTGTTTGGCCAAACGTGTACTTCATTCCTAAAAAGTCACATTGCGTCTCCTGAGGCCCTTTCCCCATGCAGTCCAAGTGATCATAAAGTGAGCATTTGCATTGCAAGAGAGTAAAGCGGTGGTTTTCACCCTTTTTCAGTTATGGGTCCATGAGTTTTCGGCTGGAGGTGAAGATCTGTTTGTAAATTATACATGTGTGGCATTTCTTAATTTTGCTGTTCTTAATCACCTTTTCCAGCCCGCTTAGACTCACAGACCACCCCAAGAGGTCCATTGGCTGCAAACCCCTGAAATAAAAACCTAGAGAGATGAGAAGTAAAAAAAGGAAAGAAAAGAGAAGCCAAACCGGGCATGACGGACCTCTGAAAAGCTTGAGGATCAAAGCTGCAAATTAGGGTTTACACAGAGTACTAAAAACACCAGAAAGAGGCAAGAAGCAGGGAGGGAAAAACCGGCTGGTTTTGTTGTAATTTTCATGTAGATTTCTGCAGAGTGGTTAGGCTCTTCAGTCAGTGTTGAGTTTGATGGCAGCCAAACCAGATTTCTGATGGTGAATCACTTGATTGCTTGCTAACCAAAACACATGCAGACGAAACTTTTCTTTATAATAGCTAAAGTTTTTTGTTACGTTATATTTCTTCTTTTCTCTGTTTCTGTGTTGCTGGACAGAACTGGAGAGGGACTCACAATATTGGCATCACCCTAATATGCATTGAATTCGAGTTTTCACTGCCCTAAGTATGAAAAAGGTGTATATATAAAAGGTATTGAAAAAGACCTAAGTTGTACCTACTTTTCACAACCACTAGCTGGTAACAGAATTTTTCCCTTTTTAATGCAAGTTATTAAAGAAAGGAAAGCCGGAGGAAGGATAAGGAGGAACTGAAATATGATACTAATTTTTATGCTGTTAAGAGTCCCAAAAAACACTTACAAATCATAGATGGCCTCTTTGCATACATGCTGGATGCAAACAGGCATTAACTGGATTAATAACAGTCTGTTAAATTTAACAACACAGTGAACATCAGGAATGAATTAATCTGAAACCCTTTGGTAACCAGCACAGCTACTTAAACGATGTCCTCTGACACACGCAAACATTCATAGACTATATGCAGAAGGGGTGGAGAAGCTGAGCGTTTTTTCACAAAGGAGGTTCTGTTCTCAGTAACATGATTCCAGTTAGTCCTGGCCAAAGCAGTAATGCCTACAGCCATTATGACAAAGGGAAAGTATTTTTAATTTGATGGAAGTTAGATCTCTTGTGTCTCATCAGTACTGTGCAAGTATAAAAAAGAAGAGGTGAAGGGAAAGGGTTTGGGTGCTGATAGTCTGAATTTATGGCATGTGAAGGAATGCATGGTGTTTGGGTGGTATGTGAGACAATAAAGTGTAATATTTTTAAGGTCTGGAGCAAGGGGATAGAAAACCTATGTTGTGACAGAAAACATCTAACAGAAATACTAGGCATTTCTTTAAACACGGGACTGATACACAGAACAGCATTCTGCTGAAAGCAAAAGAAGTCAGAATACCTTGTTCTTGTCTGTTTCTGTTTTGAAATTAGTATTTTATTTATTTGATTGGTTATCTATTTGATTTATTTTTTTGTTGAAATTAGTCTTACCATGTAAACCTCACAATAACTGAGAAAAATCATGCTGTTCCATAAATAGCAAAATTAGCTGAACCTGTTTTTCTATGATTTGTGACCTGAATCTCCCTCACCCCACTGCCTTTTCCGTACAGCATTTGCCCCCCAACTCTCGCCTTGCTTAAAAGACTCTCATGCTCTTTCTTCTTTCCCTGTTTCGTTTCATATCCCAGAAGAGATGTCTGGGGTAAGAGACACTTTGGGCTCTGGAAGTGCTCATTCATTGATTGGTTTGCATATGGTAGTTGGTAAGCAGGAGACCAAACAGAAATAGTAGCTGTTGAGTTCCTGCTGTTGCATTTTCCTCATCAGAAGGACTAATACACATCTCTCATTTGAATCCAGATGCTGATTTTGGAAAATAATAAGAATATAATTGTAGGAGGCCTTTATGTCTGTGTTAAATTTGACTGAAAGTGGACTGTATATTCCAAAAGTAATTGTGAAGAGACTGTCAGCACAACTGTGCAACTCTGTTTTATTTGGAAATGAGGCAAAAACAGTTACATGCCTGTAAGTGTTTGGTACCATATGCTGAACAATGGTTGGTGTGTCTCAAACATGCCGTTGACAATTAAACCTTTCATCTCTGTAACCAAGACTAATTAAAACATCTCTCATGAATTAAACTTGAGTCAACACTAGACTTCTACTAGCATAGCTGATATCGGATGTATGATTTATAATCAACATGCTTCTGCAAGCAGATGTCTCTAGATCAAATGCAAGTAAAGTATCAAAATTAAACTTGTCAGTTTAACTTATTTCGTTACTTTAAACTGAAATTTTCAAGTTTTCAAATTTAAAACTGACCCAAATCCAAAGTCCTAATAGTATATTTTTAAAAACTCTTATGTTTGAATTATAGATTTTTTTCCTGCAATGTCTCTATCATTAATTTTTTTTTATTAGTTAAGCCTCATTTTTTTCCTGAAATGATTTTGTGGCTACATTTCAAGTGAATTCCTGAAAGGTGAGTGTTTCCTTTCATGACCAGCTTAGAATGAAATTTGTTTAAAACAATCCGTAAGATTTTATGGGACAATTATATTATTTCATAAGAAAACTTTTTTTTTCATCATTTAAGGTTTTCCAGTCCTCTTTCTTAACTGCCTATTGTTTGCCTCCAGCTTGAATCATACAACTTGCAGATCAGCCACTAAATAAACCTCCTTGCAGTAAGACTTAAGGTTTTCCTTTTTTTTTGCAGAACTAATGTATGTCTTTCTAAAGTTCAGTGCTGATGAATCCACCCCAAAATGCAGAGTTTATCACTGGATATCGCTGTTATACTGTCGTAGTCCTGGGTTAAGTTTGAGATGGTTTATTTGCAAAATACATTAAAAGTAAATTACTGTATTTCTGTATTACACTTTTGATTTCACCTTACTTATCTCCATGGTTTTTGCTTTTTCAGACATTCTTTCCAGCTTACTTGATCTGGAGATATGTATTTTTCAATTCTCCTAGTCCTTTCATCTTCTCGGTATTTGGTTTCACTAACCTTAGCCTTAGATGTTTGGGTCTTTTCAGTCAGAGGTCCTGAATGGTGTGACCTCTCTGCTTTTCTTGTGAATATTTCAGAATAATACTTAGGTGCTTTCTAGTGACACTTCAAACTGTTTCTTGACCGGAGAGGTGGGGATCAAGTTCCACATGCCATATGTTGATTCACTCTATGAGAAATTGACAGTTTCCTTTTCTGTTAATCTTCTTTAATAACGTTTTACTTCTGTTTCTCTTTGTTGATGATACTGTAGCAAAAGCACACTCAGGAATATGGGAAGATCTTCAAGTCTCACTTTGGTCCCCAGTTTGTTGTATCCATTGCAGATCGAGATATGGTTGCTCAAGTCCTCCGGGCAGAAGGTAGAGCACCACAGAGAGCTAACATGGAATCATGGCAGGAATACCGAGATTTACGAGGAAGAGCTACAGGACTTATTTCTGCGTAAGTGGTTGCTCCTGCATTTTCTAAGTTTTATAATAAAAGTATGTTAATTTTCTGAAGGACTGTCATCTGGGAGTTGAGGCTTGTCTGTGTCGGGAAATTTGTATGTTTAGCGGGGAGGAAGGAGGTTATGAATTTATGGTGAATTGTTTATTCTGCTATAAATTTTCAAAGGGATCCTAATGATGCATAGTTTGAATGTGGAGTAAGCTACCTCATATAAAAACATTCCCGGGAAACTTGTCTCTCAGGTAGAGATTTCTGAGCTGCCTCAATTATCTGGAAGCCATGCTCCAGAGTAGGACTTAATAGCTTTGGCATAGCACCGCACAAACATGGTTTTACTGCCTCACATCTAAGCTGATACATCCACTTGGCAGCATGTTGTGTGGATTTACCAGCTCAAGCTGACATTAGCTCCCTTGTTCACCAAAGTGCCCGCTCAGTAGAGTAATTAAGAGAAGTCACTGTATGGTAAATTCACACTGTAGTGCGTTCCCATGCAGATGTATCTTTGTAAGTGACCGATTCTAGAAGAGCTGTCTGTCTTTTAAAGCTTACATAAGCTCTCTGAGCACGTGGGTGTGGTTAATTGCCACTGGGAACTACTCACAGTCACCACTGACAGAAGATGTCTTTTAGAGGGAAACTAATTCTCTGCGTCATGGCCGCTCTCTCTTTTTCTCAGTGGCAAAAGACTTTATGTATTAGATCTCAGACTGGGATCTTAAACTGCCGTGCAGACTAGCAGTTCCTTGACATTTTGTGAAATGAAATCTTAAATCAAGAGATAGGCAGAAAATGTCTGTTAAAGGAATTGAATTCTGCTGTTGGCCAGTAAGTTTCTAGACCTTGCAGCATCATTATTTCAGCTGAAAGAATTTCATCAGAAATCAGTTGCTTACATAGCAATTTAAAAAAACAAGTGTAAAATACAATTGAAAGATATTTCTGTCACCAGTGTTCCAGACTACTCTGCTTATATGAAGCATGCCGAGGTTACAGCTCAGGCTTTTAGCCTTTGACGCAAAGATTTCAATAGATAGCTCAGCAAAAGGAGAATCTAGCTGTAAATAGTTTCTCTATAGATACCAAATTTATTGTCTTTGTTTTTGTGTCTAAATCAGACGAGCTCATTGCAGCTAGGGGTAGTGGTATGCATAATGTAATATCGTGAGTACAGTTGAAGCGTGTCTTTTCAACCTCACAACTTTTCACTTCCACATAGTTTATATAATTTTTAATATATTGTCATCTGTATTGAAAACCCACTGTAGCCTCTCAGGAACTGCAGTACAGGCCATTTGTCACAAAAAGTATATTATGTTGTAGATTGAGAATTAGCATACCTCAAAGTGTTATATTGTTAATTGAATTTACAGTGCTAGCTCAAATCATTGATTTGTCAGATCTGGATGAGATACATGGCTTTGGCGATTAAACACCAGTTCTAGTTTATTTAAAAAAAAACAGTTTTGTTTTAAAAACAAATTTGCCGAATACCCATTCAAATATTTCAATTAAATTCAATAAAACCTTTTTGCAAATCCAAATTTCTTGTGTCAGTACTGCTCAACTACTAATATGGAGACACCTGTCAAATTCAGAATACTGAACGGACAAGTTCTATCACTCAAATCAGAGATTAATTAATAGATGCACATATTGTGACATTGTGAAATTAGTGAATAAAATATGGAATAAAAACATAGGCGTTAAAATATGGAATAAAAACATAGGCGTGTAATATCAAATACATGTTATCATCCCCCCCCCATTATTCTTATTTCATCAATTGATTTTTCATCTCCTAATAAAAGCGTAAACAGCTTTCATTGTGGAACTGCTGCCCAGCTAGAGATTGTCAAGAAGAATTGTGTATAGACATTAATAATAATTTCTTCTAGGGAGGGGGAACAATGGCTAAAAATGAGAAGTGTACTGAGGCAAAAAATTCTGAAACCCAAAGATGTGGCTGTTTTCTCTGGAGGAGTCAATGAAGTTATTACAGATTTAATTAAAAGGATCCACACCCTCAGAAGTCAAGAGGACGACAGGGAAACAGTGACCAATGTTAACAACCTTTTCTTCAAGTATTCAATGGAAGGTGAGCCCAGACTGTGTAACAGCTATATAGAAATTGGATGTAAAGCTGTGTGCTTACGGCTAGGCATTTTTGTCACAAACAACTACTGCCTCAATCGTGATTAATTTGAAGAGGGAAGCTTGATATTCTGCGTTCAGGGATCTTCTTACTTAGGGCAATGGATATCAATAGAAATTCTTCATAGAGTTCAAACGGATGGTCCCTTGTAGTAAGGGATAATTCCTGTGGAAATGCTGATATATATGCAAAATATAAAATCAGGGAGGGCCCTAACCAGTTTCAGTACTCCATATCTCTGTATTAATTTCTCAAGAATGAGGGTGTTGATCTAGCAGTCTAACTTCTCAGACATGTTAATGTAACAGTCTGCTGGCCATATTGCTGGTCAGGGTATCAGTGTAGTATATCTAAATTCTTATTTTCGTATGGGAAAAGATACTGGTTCCCACTGCTTACATATGCGCTTAATGTGGGATTGCTGTGCTTTCCTTTAAATCATCTGGCACTGGCTACCATTAACGAGAGAATATTGTGCTAGATGGAACCCCAGTCTGAGCTAGTAAGGCATTTCCTGTATTCTGATAGAAATTTAATGGTGATTCGCATTTCATGCATTCCTTTAACTGACTTTATACAGCCTGTTCTTGTTGTACGTATGTGCCTTTTAAAAACATTGACACTCTGATGAAAGACAGCTGAATAATTTGAGGTTTGCAAACACTTCAAATTTGCTGACCTGTACTGTATCAAATGGCTGGCTGGCTGGTAAACTAATCTGAGTCTGTTCTACACGAATAACGTCTAAAAGTGGCACTCATCTAAGTGTTACCAATTTTCAAGAATTTTAAACTCTGAGCTTACACATTCAGTATAACTGATGGGTTAGTTTAAATTCTTCACGTTCTTTTTGTGCCTCGCACACAGCTATTTCATATATGAAATCCACTTTCAGTTAACTTTTACTGTCAACTACTCAGTGACCCAGTGGCTTCTTGAAAAGACTATCTAAAAGGTTTAAAAAAAATGCATGAGACCTGGCAGTTGTTCAAAGAAGCACAACAGAAATTAAATCTCCAGAAAAATATCTCCAAAGGGAGGAAAATTAGGGAAGCCAGAGTGAATTGAAAATAGCTAGATTTTAACAACTGTTTCTAAGCAAAGAAGAAACTTGCAGGAGAGAACATAAAAAAAAAAATCTTTTTTTTTTTTTTAAGAGTAAATATTCTAGATAATTTATGGAGAGTTTGAGGGAAGACCGGGCAAGATCAAGGTTAAACCTCATATCTATTGTAGCTGTTTTTAATAGAAAAAATAGAGGAAAAAATAGGAGAAAAAAGAGGCTAGAGAGTTAATAGACCACTTATCCTAAACTACAATTCCTGAAAAGGTACGAACAAACTATCGATACAGATAAACCAATGAATTTAAAAGCACAAACTTTTTTTAAAGCATGCAATTTGATGCAGAGGTCTTGGAGAAATTATCTAACTGCCTTTTTAAATTGCCTGATTGCCCCACTCAATAAAAAGAAACACTAAATAAGGTTATTTGGATTATAACAATGCTATTTATACTATGCAACATGGTATTTTCATTAAAAAATGGGAAGTATGGTCTAGATTATGCTGGTAAAAGTTGGGAGCAGAAGTGGTTAGAAATCTGTGCTCAGAAACCAATTAAAAATAGTTTGCTGTCATACTGGGAGAGCACTTTGACTAAACCCAGTCGGTCAGTTTCTGGTCCAGTTCTGCCTAGTATTTTCATTAATAATTTGGGTACATTTATAAAACTGAACAAAAAGACTTCAGGCACACTAGAAGACAGGATTTTAGTTCAGAATCAACTTGATAAGTTAAAGAAATGGTCCAGAGCTGAGCAGAAGAATTTAGTAAAAATATATACAGAGTACTGTTCTTTGGAAAAAAAGAGATTCACAGTGGGGAGCACTGCAATACTGCAGAAAATCATCCGAGGAAATCATAAGTCACAAAGAAGAGAAGAGTCAATAATGTCATTTGCAACAGTGTCACACACACTTGTCCTTTTTCAAGGCTACCTGGACTCTGTCATGTGCTGTGCGTCTAGAGCATAATGCATGCTCATTATCCATTTAGTGCTGCCTTACCCTGGCAAAGAAAGGCATAGCCACTGCTAGGAACTCCTGCGTTATCGCCAGCTATCAGAAATACCTTTGGCCTTAAACTCCCTGTCCACTGTCCTGAAGGCCACTACATGTGGCCACTAACATGTTCAAGATTTGTAGTGCAATGCAAAGCACAGTAAACATGTTGGAGGGTTGCTGTACTTCTTTCAGAATTCCTGGATATCATCTTGAGCTGAACACTACTGACAGAGTAGCCACTGGCTCTCTAAAATGTTTACCTGAGATTTAAGTATGTGTTTTAAACTTCTATTTTATCTAACCCCAGTTACAATTATAATAAGTAAACATTTTTTGGAACGTAATTCTATAATTTTACTATTGTAATTCCTTAAAGTACTAATATATATGTATGTATCTGTATATGTATAGCAAATTCTTTAATCTCTCATGTGCAGGTGTGGCAACTATTCTTTATGAATGCCGGTTGGGCTGCCTGGAAAACAGTGTCCCACAACAGACTGTTGAATATATTGAGGCTCTGGAGTTGATGTTTAGTATGTTTAAGACCACTATGTATGCAGGTGCTATTCCCAAATGGCTTCGTCCACTTATTCCAAAACCCTGGAGAGAGTTCTGCAGATCCTGGGATGGACTCTTCAAATTTAGTAAGATTTAGCAGTAGAAAAGTTCAGTTGTGTTTCTGCAGATTCTATGTTTGTGTTTGAACAGGACTTCCTGCATTTCTTTTCTAAAATTATAATAAGACATTGTGGCAGAAGAGGTGTCACAATAGTGGGATAAAAATTATGTGAAATATTAATTATTTAGAGTAATAAATCAGGAGAAGTTAGATGAGCATGTAGGCTGTATATCAAGAAATATCTTTATTATTTTTATTGGATCTGTGATCGAGTGCCGTAGTAAAATTTTCATATTACAATTAGACTGAGCAAGGGAACAGCTTAAAAAAATACTTTATTTTTAAACAATTTTGCCGGTACAATTTAAATAGTCCCTTATTTTATACTGCTATTTCATTATTTGCTTTCCGCTCTTTCGCTGCCTCGTCATCACTGAAGTCCACATTCTATGCCAGGGCTTTATCATAAGCCACTCAAATTTCAATGAGGGTGGTTTTGTTGACCTTGGTGAGTTTTCAGTCAGGCACTGTGATAAAATAATCACCCCTGCAACTGGCTAGGAAGTTAAAAAACGAGCTCTAGCATTTAATTAATAGAGCTCATCATGGAGTTTTTATATACACACAGGCATATAAGTTGGCAAAGAACTACACTATTTACACTGCAATATGTTTTTTGTAAACAAACCATTCCAGGCTATGAATCTTTTTCAGTCATCTAAGTAAAGAGGAGGAATCTTGTTTGTAATATTTTTATTTAAGATTCTGGAGCGTTTTAAAAGAACTCTTCTTCAGTAATGTTAGGAAGCTACATACATATTTGTTTTTATTTTATTTTTGACTTTCTGGAGTGGAGTCTTTAGTTTCATAATTCTTAATCTGCCTCTGTATATTGAACTGTACTAGCAGTCGTAATTAGGGAATCTAATGCTGGTAGTGGAGTGATTCCTTTGAGACATCTTGTATTCTTTTTACACTGCCACTTTTAAATTATTTGCCATGATAAAGTGTTATTTTTCCCCTTTATGGGTTAAGAACCAATAGTAGACCTCAGATTTATTTGAACAACAGGTGGAAAACAGTTCTTGAGGAATTTCTTCTGTTTAAAATTTTTTTTGTCATACTATTTTTTTGTTTAATCCCTTTGTGAAAAAAGGAATTAAATAGGTAAAAATTATGTGTTTTAACCAGGCTGTTGCTGTATACGATGTGTGTGTGTGTGTGTGTAGATTTCATAAAGGAAATATGTTCATTGTGTGAGAAAGTAGCCTTCTGAGGAGTCCTCATCTTAAAAGTTCTCATCTTTGTTTCACTGAAGATGTTGATTGTAGTAACTAAAGGATAAAAGGGACCTATGGGTGAAATGATTAAGAAGAAGTATAATTTGCTGCCGTCTTTCAATTATTGTTATTACTTGATGCTCCTCATCTTTGTCTTCAGTGTGGTTCCGTTCTGTGGTACATACCTCCCAATTGCTGCTAACATCTTCTAGCAGCTGCTGCATGCTGACCTGCAGCATGCTCTACAGAGTTCACCCCCTTTTGCAGAATCATCAGAAAAAACAGCCGGTTGGGTGTAAAACTTGACTCTGAGCTTCCTTCACTCCCAGCCAGAAACTACAGTATCAACTGTCCTCTCCTGATCCTCAGCTCTTTCATGCCATGAGCATCCCAAGGATCCCATCAGTTCCGTCTTTCCTTATTATGAACACCCAAGGACCCCTACCACCACTCTTTTACCTTTTTCTTGATAAAATTGTTTAAAATACCTTATTTTTTTATGACTGTGTAGCGTATCCTGAGGGAGAAGTCTCATTGCTGAATGGAACCACCAGAGAAATAAAAATGGAGGCTTAAGTGATTTTTTTTTAAATCCTAAAGGTCAAATCCATGTTGACAACAAATTAAAGGCTATTCAGTCTCAGCTGGACCAGGGAAAAGAAGTGAATGGTGGGCTACTCACCTACCTCCTAGTGAGTAAAGAACTTACTTTGGAAGAGATCTATGCTAATATGACGGAAATGCTCCTGGCAGGAGTGGACACAGTAAGCGTATTATTTTCATTTTTCTTGTGAACATTTGTCTTTGTAAAGCCGTACCATTTGTAGCTATCTTCAGGGGAATTTAAGTTGTTGTTAAGGAAATAATGGAAGTTGTTTTTAAGGAAAAAAAATTTCTGACACATTTGAATCATGGAATCTTTACAGTGATAGAAAATACTTGCCACGCAGAGTAATCTCTATACTGGAATGAAGTCAGTGGTGTTCTGTTCTAGCTGTGGTTTACGTACAAACTGCCTAAAGAGTAGCAGGAACCCATCACTTGGGAGTCTGTTTCATAGTTCATTAAATGAATGAAATAGCAATTGTCTTTAAATTCTGCTTGAATTGTCGTACATTTTCTTTCTTTAGGTTGGATATCAGGTCAGTATTTATTGCTTTTTTAGGCAGGCCATAATAGAAAGCACTGCTGAAAATTAGTGTGAAAAAATTGTTCAGTAATCTCATATGCAGAATTTGGTAAATGATTTTAACATACGGATAATTAATCAGCTCATACACACATTGCAGATCAGATATTTGGCTTCTGCTGAAGTCTGTTAGAAGGGGGATGCTAGGCCAGCGCTAAAATGATGTAGGTAAGGTATTAGTTCACTTTACCCTTCTCGTGCTGGTAGCATGGAGTCAGTCTAAGATAGAGGACTATCATCATGGGGCTCAGTGGGAATGAGGCTAGAATATGAGGCATGTAACACCTAGAGAACCATTTTAAGGGGGCCACGTTAGACCGACTAATGGATCTCTAGCGTTTGAAATTACATTAAGGTCACGTATTTCTTTCCTTCCTCTCATTCCTACCATGTGGAATCAGTATAGCTTAGTGTGATCTGTAGCACGACAATCACAAGCATAAGAAAGGATAAACATGAGTTGTTTTACCACGTGTACAGTGTATACTGAGTTACTTAGAAGGTCACTTCTAAGTGACGTGTAACACTATTATTGTAAATGACTATAACTGAACGTTATTTTTTAAAAAAAGCTACATAAGTTAGATAAAGAGAGTTAATGCTATATAACATTGTGTTTACTAGCCTTAAAGTAACAAAGGTAAAGAAAGTAAAAATGTAAAGTAGCCTTATATTAAAAAAAAACCCAACCTCCTGATAATTGATTTTAGATTTTTTTGATCTAAGAGAAGTTTGTGAGGTTTCTAAGGAAAACAAAAAAACCCCAACGGCAGTACTTTTTGAGCTCCAGAGTAAGGAGCGTATGTAAAGCTTATTTATATGCTGAAGGTTATTCCATAGGTTAATTATTCCAAAGGTTTATGAGGCTGGAGAGTTTTTTGATGTTTTGGTCTTAAGTAAAGCACTATCATTCATCCCATTCATTTTCTAGTCCTTCAGACCCTTAATTTTCCATTTTTTGTGTGTGAGGGAGTTTTCATCAAACTAAAAGGAGAGTGTTCAAGTTCATGCCAGTGGGAGTCTGTTTTTCCATTTGACTCAGCATCCTCAGCTGGCAACATTTTGTGAGAGGACTGTACTGCTGATTTCCTCATTCTCAAGTACAAGACAGAAGCTGAGGGAGCCTTTTTTTCCCTACTGCTGTCATTTCAGATCTCATTTCATCATAGAAACTGAAGGAGGTTTACAGGATTATAAAAGCTTTCAACAAAATTGTAAGGCTGTTTTTGGCTACAAAGCATTTTTGCTGTCCCTGGAACAGTGCTAATTTTTAAGAGGTTATGGAGGAGCTGGGAACCTGAGAAGGAACAGTGTTTATATGGCAGGAAGTTCTGTACTCAGTTGGCACTATTGCTAGCTCCTCTGAGGAATAGTGCAGGGCTGTATTTTAGCAAGGGACAGCAACTCAGTATTCTGAGAAGAAGAAAGGAAGGCTTCTGAGAATGATACTTCTAGCATTGTACGCCAGTTTGAAAACAAGATATAGAAGGTGACTGTCATGTCGAATTTACTTTCTAATTTAATCTTAAATGTAAGCCCCAAATGAAACATTTCCAGAAGTTGTTGGGTGTTTTACGCATAAATTGTTTGCAACCTTAAGCTTTGTTGTGCCGATGAGTGAGAAGCTGAAAATGAAACTCTTTACTCCCTAAAAAATGAAACTGATAATCTGTCTTCATTATAAAGGTTACAAAAATGCCGTTAAAATTAATTAAATAAAATTAGGTTAGCAGTTACATTTTCTCTCTCTTAAATGCTGTAAGATATTAAGAACAACATAGGTAAGGAACAATATCTTTACAGTGTCATTTTCCCTGCCATACTTACTCAGGAACACTGAAAACATATTACTTATGTATTACTATGTAATAGTATACATAATAATTATATATTACTAGCTTTCTGTCTTTAGTGATGATTATAAGGGAAGCGGACTCAAATAAGGCCCTTTGTTTGACCTTAATATCTGAATGCACCTGATACTAGACTCAAGATTTTTTGCTTCTACTATTTGAATGGAACAGTCCCTGAAATCCAGGTAGTTTAGACACAAGGAGTCATGATTGAATGAATGGTAAATATTGGACCACAAAAACTTAATGAGTTGAAAAACTCTATTTGGTTACGTGTTAGTACAAATGGAGGGAATCCATGTTCTCATAGTGCATTATAAACCACAAATATGCATGGAAGTGCAATTTTTCCAGCTGGTGTGGAAAAGAATTAGATAGTGGGTTCCTTTAAATCATCGTGTGCTCAAAGGTGAACTGTCTTCTGCCTTGTATCCTATTTCTTCCTTTGTACAAAATATATTTTTTAGTTATTTTCCACAGAGTACCTCTTTTCTGCAGTCTTGATGACTGTTAGAATCATGAATTATTTGTGGGGGGAAGAGATTATTTTACCTATATACATTAAAATGTTACATTTAAACAATGGATATATGTGGTCATTTTAAATACATAAACTCCTCTTGAAGTTTTCTTATGAAAACTTTCAATATGATGCTGAATGGTGCCATTTCCCTCAAGGGGGAATTTTAAGAGATAAAAGGTGTCTGCTGTGATGTAGCATCACTACCAAAGGATGAAATATAATCTTAGCAGTATTAATATCAATTCTGTTGTTGTGCGGATGCTGTGAAGAGACTGCCGTATGCTTAAAATGGATTGGTAATATTCTGAGTAGCTTTGTCTTCCTGTAAAATGTTTCTGTTGGGAGGAAAGTTAAAGCATGTACTGAAAACTAATAGTTAATTTAATCCATTACTGTTTATAATATGTATGTTTCAGTATTACTTATGCAGTTTTGTTTGCATTTGCCCTTTCAGTTGCTTTTTGATATTTCCCTGGGAAAATACCCAGTGGATTGTTTTTGTATGAAGGAGAATTTTAGGTGGAAAAGGGCTGAAGTAGAGGATGGTGAAATCTGATAACATCCCATTGAGTCCAGATGTTAATCACTGTCAGTCTGTTTTATAACAGTACACATGTGAAACAAATATTTGAAAACTGATTGTTTTTCTTGGCTTGAAATTATTTTTAGTCTGCTCTTGTTGGACTTGAATGTGATGGTAGTGGTTTCTTTCTTAGACTTCTTTTACTTTGTCCTGGGCAACGTATTTGTTGGCAAAGCACCCTGAGGTTCAGCAACATGTTTATGAGGAAATAGTCAATAAGCTGGGGAGGGACCAAGTTCCTGTTGCTGACGATGTCCCCAAGATGCCTTTGATTAGAGCTGTGCTCAAAGAAACCCTCAGGTAAGTAGCAGACAAGTGCAACTCATTAGTTTAAACATTTAATTCCGTGTGGTTATAGTGGCTTTTCAGTCGAAGGTAACATTTCCATTTAATTGTTATTTGTTGCTTCTGCTTTCATTTATTGTAGCAGTAATGTGTCCAGGGATTCTCAAGCAATTAAATACGATCATTAATATAATGTTTAATGCTTTTTAAGTATGGTAGAAATAATATCACATATTTATAACATGCCTTGTAAGGTAGGTAACTGAAAGCTTGTTTTTGCCTGAAACTGAATGCTTGTTTAAAGCATTAGTTTCTCTGATGGACTGTAAACCCCTGAGTGCCTTGCCAGTATGCCTGGAGTGCCAGGGTGCCAGCAAGAATGGGGCTTGCTCCAGGAGGGAGAATGAGACGGGAGCCCAGAGTGACCACAGCATAGGCAGGGCAGTGACCTCACCGACCAGTGTGCCCATCCCACAGGATCTAGGCATGGCTTGGCTGGTGGTCACTACCTCTGCTTTTGAGAACGCACTAGTCAAGGGTAGTGCTTGTGCTTGTGTGCAGTCACACAGCTGTGACTGATCTCTCAGGCAGGGGTATTGTGTATGGTGGTCAGCAACAGGCTCCTATTCTTACTGTTTTTCCACAGATAAAGAGACTGAATCAGATATAGACTAGTTAATCTGCTTAAAGCCGTGTAAGAGATGCTTGTCAGAGCCTGAACTGAATCTTTTTCAAATGGTTTGTATGTCTGCATAGTAATACTGGGTATGTGTGCAGTCACTCAAGGTGTAAACCTTTTAGCTCAAGCAAATTTGATTAAGTAGCCTCAGATTTTTCTGTTAACATTTCTCTCATCCTTCTGCTTGTGCAGGGTGTGCCTAGTATAAGTTGATGAAATGATCTATCACTCTTGTTTTCCTTTAGCTCAGGGTTGGACCATGGTTTCCTTGTTTTGATGAGATCTTTCAATTATGTCACCTGAGCTTTAACATGTCTTCTTAAGTTTCTCTTCACTTTTTCCTTGTCCTTTACTTTGAGAAGCAATTTTTGTTTACCTCAGTGACTTTTGTGACCAAGGTGTCGAATTTAAGCCTTGTTTAACGTGTAAAAACTCGGTCCTTTTCTCAATCCTTTAAATGGATACATTTATTGTCTTGGTTTGGCCAAGGACCACCATCTGTCTAAGCTTCGACCTCAGGGCAAGGAAAGAGGTTCAGAAGAAACTTAAAGTCGCCTTCCTCACAGATCTTTCTTCTATCTCAAACCTTATTGTACCGACTCCCCATCTGGATGTACCTGCCACAGTGATGGTCCTGTGTCTTGCTGTAGATCTCCTCTCTTTACTTCTCATGCTTCCATTTTCGAACACAGTGGAGATTGTGATAGACATCATTTCTGCACCTTGTTAAGAATCTAACATAAGCTACATACCCCTCCTGTACACCTAAAGAAGTAGAATTGTCTTTTACATCTCGGTACAGTGTCAAAAATCTTGATGCATGATTTCTTTAATGATCAGACATTAGAGATCTTGTTCTCCCACTGAGATCTTAGCCGTGTCCTTTTCATAGATGATGATATCTGAGTCGTAAAGTCTTTGACCAAAAAAGAGCCAGCAAAGGGGCAGTCAGGGAAGGGAAGAGACATTCTTACCTTCATAATTTTATTCCCAGGGGAGCGGACTCTGAGCCTCTCACTTTTCAGATGGTCCTGCAGGACGAGACCACCTACAATGCGTTAGCTGTGTAACATTGACTCCAGGCTATTTCATATGCTGTGGTGCTATTCCAGACGCTGCCATGCCACACAACTTCAGTGAAGAAAATGTGAAACTTTGCTTTCATGCTATCTTTTTTGGCATCTACTGTTGTTTCAAATAATCAGTCTCCTTCCATCTTACATCTCCAGACTGATTTTCTTTACATTTTCCTCAGTGCTTTCTTGGAAGTCAACTTTGTTTTATTCCTAAAGTATGTCCCAGTGAGTACAGGTTCCAGGTCAAGTTTCTCAGGAACAAGTTTTGAGCCTAACCTGCTCAAGCCGGGATTGCTATCAATGATGTTATTTGTTATAAGCTAGTATGGTTTGGCAGGCCCTTGCATCACATGCAGCAACCACTCAGCGTTACTGTCTATCTTCCAGCAGGTGATTCAGATTTTTTTCTCCCAACTTGTGCTGAGCTCTTTGACTGCCAAAGCAATTGCTGAGCATAATTAAAAAACACGTTCATCTCTCCCTGGCAAGGATTCTAGACGTAATGCACTAATGCCCTAGAAGAGTATTTCTCACATGAACCCTCAAAGTACAGATGAATCACCAGACTTTATTATCCTGTTCTTTTTATTCATACTCCAGTTTCTAAGAGATTTCATTTTTTCCAGTAGAACAGGACTTCACTACTCTAATAAAAGAAGATGTTGTTCCTTCCTGTTGTTGTTCTTATTCCTTTATAACTCACTGCTGTAAGCTGCTCTGAGTGCAGGAACAAAACAGCAAGAACTGTTGTTTTGTCAGTTCTTGTGTAAGAAATTCTTGGGAGGCAGATTGCTGTTGAAAAAATTCTATTTTAGGGCAAAGAGATTTTTCAATTCCAAACTCATTAACTCAGAAGTTATACTGAGGTTCCTCAAAATGTATGCTATAATTCCAAGAAGATATTTTCCTATTCGAATTTCTCCCCATCTTCAAAATCCTTGGTTTCTGCAGAGCTGAATGACTTCCCTGTTTATTCCCCTCAAGATCCCAAGAGAAGAAGGATGATGCATCTTTGACTTAGACTGTCTGTATTGCATTCCCAGTTGTCCAGATAACATACCTGAATGTTCTCCAAGAAACATGAACCTATAGCACTATGCATTTCTCCTCCCCGCCCTGTTATTTTTTTGAGACAAGTTGTCCAGTTCCATTGGAAATGGCATTGCCTCAGAGCTGCGAGTGGTATATACTACTTCGAACCTTACATCATTCATTTTACTTGTTTGCTGTTCATATCTTGCCCTCCTCTCTTTTTTTCAAGTTGACAAAGGCCTTCTTGGCAAGGAGTTGCCAAGATGTTACCAAGATCACCTCGGTAAAATTGGTCCCTTTTGGAGATACTATTTTGCATAGACCCATAGAGAGGATTTAAGCCATAATGTGTCATCAGCCTCTCAGTTTTCTTCTGGGATACAGTCTCCAAACCCATCCTGGGTTCTTCCCACTTGGCCTTGTTTTTGCAAGTTTTTCTCAAAAAAAATTGTGCTTCTTTTAGGGTATGGGAGCTCATAGGCCTCATATTTCATTTAGACCAGACAGAACTTTTTCAGAAGGGTACCTTACTTTTCTGTCTTTGAGACAGATAAATCTGTTTATGCAGTTATATTTGAGTGCTATCGTGTTATTTCACTATGTTTTTCGTAACTTTGCTATCCTTTGTGATATAGATACATCTTACCAGAGTATAAACAAATCAAACAGCATCTCTAAAGAACGTTCTAATCTGAGGATGTGCAGAATTCTATCCCCATCTTGGCCAACCTTTATGCCAGTGTGGGTCCTACACTGTGAAGCTGATGGCAGAGTGGTTCATCTAAGGACTCCAAGGTTAAGGGCATATTTCCACAACTTGGCCACGTTGTAAATACGTACAGAAAGAATCAATCTGAAGAAAGGTTATTTACCTTTAATTAGAGGTTCTTCAAGACATTTTGTGTGTATGCTTATTCCAAATCTCTTTGCCTTCTCTTTTACTTTTCAGTGCCACTACAATCATTTTAAGCTTCTTAACTTAAAAAAAAAGGAAGGCATGTGACTTTTTTTTTTTTTTTATGTCAAGCATTCATGGTAAGTTAAGAGGAGTAAGGGGATTTAAGAAAAGGCATCAGCAAGCCTTCTTCAGCAACCTGTCCTGCTAAAGAGCCTCCAGCTTGAGTGATTGATTGCATGTTTGTACAAACATGTTTGTATGTATAAAGCAAATACATAAACAGACCAAATAGCTCAATCTCCAGTTACTGGTAAATAACTTTTCTCAGGTATTAATCCTATTCTCACAGTTGCTTCATGGTCTTTTAATTTCCAAGATGATCTGTACTTTCTAAAATCTTTTTTGCTCTGAATGTATATTAGAATGGAATCTAAACTTTTAAAGTTGTATTAGTTGTTAAATGTTTAACTTTGCATAAATATTTGTCTCTAGGTTATATCCAGTATTGCCAGGAAATGGAAGAGTGACCCAGAAAGACTTGATTGTTGGAGGATACTTGATACCTAAAGGGGTAGGCTCTATTGCAGTCCTCTAGAGAGAACAAAATTTAAATTTTTTTTTGTGTATGAGATGTGATCTGTTACAACATACATAAACTTGATTGATTTCAAAAGATGTCACCAAGCTAGAGCATTAAGAAGAAAGCATTATAATAAAACCTATTTATATGGCAAAAAAGAATTTTATAATTGACTTTTTGCTGTTTTTTTTAACATTATGTCTTGACAAAAATGCAAGACCTTCCTCCTTAACAGAAGCAGTATTTCTCACCCTCTAAACAAATTTACAGTCTTGTCCTTAATATTCTTGATGCAGAACTCAGTTGATAATATCTCTGTGCAATGTTACAATTTGATTAAAAAAAAAGCATGAATTTTGTTATTTTTGTCAGTTTTGTAATTCTTGGCTATTAATCTCCTTTGTAGAAAGAGTTTAATTTCCTTTGGAAATTATGAATCTTTCCTTTATATTATTTAAAGATTACACAGAGATCAAGACAGACCTGTATGGCTCTATTTAAACTGACAAGTTCCTTTTTACTTTTGTCTTAGAGCAATGTAGCTTTAAAACAGTCAGGAGTATTAAACTCTTAGTATATATATATTTTTTTCAGGATTTATTTGGAAGCATCATCATATCTATATTGCTGCTTTTTTCTTGAAGTTTTTTTACTTTCTCATCCTTTTTTTTTTACTTTTCCCTTGTTTTGTATCTCCTTTCTCTCTTTCTCTCATAATACCTTTCTGAGACAGTTTCCAATTCTTACGACTTCTGTTTCCGTCTCCTTCCCCATTGCAACTTCTTTAATATATCCAACAGCATTTGAAGATTATTTCACTTGACCAGCTGAGAAAGAGATCTGCTTTTGTAGGTACACTTTTTTCTTCTAGAATTTGTGAAAGATAGTTTATTTTTACATGCTGTTTTCTCATCTCGTAGTATAGTAATTACAAATACTCTTTTTAAAAATTTGTATTGTCATTTATTTCCTCAGACACAGCTGGCACTCTGTCACTATACTACTTCGTACAGTGAAGAAAATTTTCCGATGGCAGATAAGTTCCGACCTGAGCGCTGGCTGAGGAAAGATGCTTTGGACAGAGTAGACAATTTTGGTTCAATCCCATTTGGTTATGGCATTCGAAGTTGTATAGGAAAAAGAATTGCAGAGCTGGAAATTCATCTTGCACTGATTCAGGTTAGAAATATGTGACAGCATTACAAGAAGAATATATAGCATATTGGTTAAACTGCACTGCAGAAGAAAAATCCTTTATAGTATGAATGAAGTAAAACTAAAAATAAGATTATTAAGAAAGTATATGCAGATTTAGAACAGAAGGGGTTTTTTAAAGCAAATTGCAAGTCTTCCTTAATATGTATTAGCGTGGTTGCCTGCTTACTTAAGGGTTCTTAGTTACAAACAATTCAGTACTTACAAAGAGGTAAAATTAGTTTTCATATGCTTGTACTGACTGATACTGTGATAAGCAGTTTTCATATCCTTGTATCGACTATCGTATTAGAACAAGTATTAAGATCAAACGTTGCATTTTTCCATGTTCTTTGATTATCCTGTCGCTTATTGCTCCTTCTTCTCTAACTGTATCATCTTTTTATAAATACATAATTTATAGATATATAAATAATAAGTATATCTAGTACACATTAACACACACTGTTTTGCACTGCTTCTAAGTAAAGAAGGCTCTCTCAACACGCGTTACATTTTGTATCACTTTAAGAGACTCCCTCTAGCTCAAATGTTCAGATCAGATTGTGCTGTCAAAACTCAAGATTTGGAAACTCTTTATAGTTACTTAACTATAAAAATATTTAGACATATTATATGTATTCAAAGCAAAACTTGATTGAATTTACCCTAGAGTACTTAAGGAAACAGCTAAAGCCATCTCTAAACAATTGGTAACGATCTTTGAGAATTTAAAGTGAGGTAGTTCTCAAATGGCTGGAAAAAGCAAACATAGTTACATCTTTTTGAAGAGGAGGATCAAGGAGATATCAGGCAGCATGCTTTTGTCTTCTGGAAAGAAACTTGAAAAAGTTACCACACAATCTGTTTATAAACACCTAAATGATATTTGTGTCATTTAAAAATAGAAATCCATAAAGCATGGAGTTGATCCATGAGAAGTTTTGTCAAACCTGTCTGATTTCCTTCTCTGACTTGATTACTGATCTAATATGGTAGAAACAGAAGAAATCACGTATTTTGTCTTTGGGAAGTATCTTCGTTTGTCATATGTGTTGTTCTCATTATTGAATTGATAAAATCTGTTTCAAGTGGAAGTACCTATAAAACGTGTGATTGAAAAAAAAAAATATCCAGAGGCAGTAGCTATCAAATATTTGCTGTTGAACTATAGAAATTTACTTAAATATTTTCCCAGGAGTCTGTCCTGGGTTTGGTTTCAGTTGGTATTTTGATTAACAATGTAAATGACAGATTAGAGAATACTTTTAGGGGGTACCCAACTGACACCAACTAGTTTAAAAACAGAGAATGTGAAAGAAGTATTATAAAAAAAATGGAGAAATGGTCCAGAATCAAGAGGAATTTGTTCACTAAGGTCAGGTGCAAATTACTGCTCTTAAGAATAAATCAAATGCATAAATACAGATTGCTGAATAACTAGCTAGGCAATAGTACTGTAGAAATAGATTGGGCAATGTAGTAAAAATCAGTCAACAATACGATGCTAATTCTGAAAAGGCACTGTCATTCTTGGCAAGTTCTTGGCATGAACAAGCAAGTCATATGTCAGAAAGAAGATAATTTCTGTAAAATAATTTTTACCAAATACTAGTGAAGCCTCAGCTAGGTAGTGGTGTACAACTGACTCTGCATTTTAAGGATAGTACAGTCAAATTGGAGGAAAGTCAGGAGATAACAAGAATTAGAGGTGTGGAAAAGAGAATGAGATGAAAATTTTAACAGTCTTGTAATACTTAAAAAATACTTAGGTAGAGGAAAACAATGAATTATTCACGATGCTCAGTATAAGAAGGCTAAGAGAAGATACTCTAATTTATAGCAAGAAAAAGGTTTGAGAATGGATATTAGGAAAAACTTTCTATTATAGATACAGGGAACTACCAGGGCCGAGGCGGTGCTGCTATTACCCTCTTGAAAGTTTAAAAAGAGATGGTTGCGTTCAGTCTCGAAACAAAGGAGTGTGCTAAATCTCTTGGATTTTATTTTAGTCCATGATTACTGATTTATGTTTGCAACTGTTCCTCTCAGTTTTGCTGAAGTATAAGTGTATGGAAATAGAGGTTTAATGTATGGAGAACTTGTGTAATTGAATTATAGTGCTTTTGTTCTGGATAGGTTCTTATATTTGACTCCTCAAAGCATTATGATTGTTTCACTAGCGTCCTGGACAGTTGCTGTGTCATGTCAGGGACTTCAACCACCCTGACATCTGTTGGGAAGACAGCACAGCTAGGCACAAACAGTCAAAGAGGTTCCTGCAAAGCATTGATGATAATTTCTTGACCCAGGTGGTGGAGACGCCAACAAGGAGAGGTGCATTGCTAGACCTTGTACTAACAAACAAAGAAGGTCTAGTTGGAGAGGTGAAGGTTGGGGGCAGCCTTGGCTGCAGTGACCATGAGATGGTGGAGTTCAGGATCCTACGAGGAGGGAGCAGGGCAATGAGTAGGATCGCAACGCTGGACTTCAGGAGAGCTGACTTTGGCCTCTTCAGGGACCTACTTAGGGGAATCTCATGGGGTAGGGCCCTAGAAGGAAGAGGGGTCCAAGAAAGCTGGTTAATATTCAAGCGTCACTTCCTCCAGGCTCAAGAGCAGTGCATCCCTCTGAGGAAGAAGTCGAGCAAAGCGGGCAGGAGACCTGCATGGATGAGCAAGGAACTCCTGGCAAAACTCCAGCAGAAGAAGGAAGTGTACAGAATGTGGAAAAGGGGACAGGCCACTTGGGAGGAACA